AGGAGAGTGAAAAATGGAAAACATTAACATCAAATTTGATTGCTGAATCTACCATTTACCAGATGTGTAACCATTTAACACTTGAGTAACCATTTAAATACTTGACCTTCGGTTTTCTCAACTATATAATAGAGGATGATTATTATTATTTCTTAATCTACTCACAAAAAGAATAGTTCAAATGATGTATGAGAAATCACTGTGCACTGTGTATTTTATGAAATAGCATAATTATAACTGTATTAATTATGTAATATGTGCTAGACATTCTTCTACACATTTCACATATTATCATATTTATCTCATTATAAACTTAGAAGAAATCACTAATTTCCATTTTCCATTTAAATAACTTGTTCAAGGTCATAAGACAAGTCATACATATTATGATATTATATAATTATATAATATTATATGATATTATAATATTATAACTCAGAAATTAGAATGCCTGAGAATATACTCTAAAGTGGTGTTACTCAAAGAAGGCTTTGTGGGCTGATGTATAGACACTACAAGGTGTTAGGTTGGACTGTTTAGAGACAAAAAAAACCCAATGGCTTTCATATATGTATAAAAGAGTTTTATATCAAGAAGTAATCAGAAAGGTATCCCAGCCCAATCCAACTAAAGTTCATAAGTCTGATACTAAATGAGGCCCTTTTTAGACTCATGTAGCTGTAAGCAGTGATGCAGAAAGGTGTAGCTCGGTGCAGGAAGTCCACAGGCCATTGGATGCAAAGTCCCATAGAGCCAAGGTCAGTTTAAACATGACAGGGTGTTCACAGCTGTCAAAGTTGGACAGCCCACATGAGGCCATCCTAGGAGGCAGACAGAGTACTAGAGAGCTGGAAGACAAAGGGACACAGAGAAATGTGGCCAATATCTTTATCAAAAGGCCATACCCCCAAGGAGTAAACACCAAGCTGTCCCTTATTAACCTTCGAAACCCCTACACTTTCACACATCTTCAAGTTGATATAAAATCTAACTGCCACCTTTTTCTGGTTGCAGCGCCGTGTGGTGAGGAGCTCTTAAGCTGCCAGCCATGCCCTCCAAGGGTCTTCTGCAGTCCGTGCAGGTCTTTGAACGCAAGAAAACTGCCACAGCTGTGGCACACTGCAAACAAGGCAACAGCCTCATCAAGGTGAACAGACGGCCCCTGGAGATGATTGAGCCACGTACGTTGCAGTACAAGCTTCTGGAACCCGTTCTGCTTCTGGGGAAAGAGTGGTTTGCTGGTGTGAACATCCGAGTCTGGGTGAAGGGTGGTGGCCATGTGGCCCAGATTTATGCAATCCACCAGTCCATCTCCAAAGCCTTGGTTACGTATTACCAGAAATATGTGGACGAGGCTTCTAAGAAGGAAATCAAAGACATTCGCATCCAGTATGACCGAACCCTGCTTGTAGCTGACCCCTGGCGCTGTGAGTCTAAGAAATTCGGTGTCCTGGGTTCCCGTGCTTGCTACCAGAAATCCTACCGATAAGTCCACCTCCAGGAAGGGGCTCTATCTTTATAATAAAGAGAAGTTCTGGGGGGAAAGAAAATCTAACTGCCACATAAGGTAAGCACAAAAATTGAACATAAGAATTTGAAAACTTTCATGGCTATTTAATAATCTCATCATTCAAATGGATGATTATTTTTCAAGTAATTTGTGTTTATAAAAAAATTATCTGCATCAAATTATAAATAATGACAACAGTTTACTGACTACACAGTTCAAAACACATT